AAGACTCAAACGCGATAACGCATTGTCGACCCTCAGAGTCGACTTGAAAGTGCAATGCCAATGGCAAACGCTAAAGCGTAACACACGACGCTAAAAGGAAGATCAGGATCATGATGATCCAGAATTGGCGCCTGACGAAGACTCTCCTTAATGGCTTCAAAAGCCTCGTGGTGCTCGGTGCTTCAACACCATTCCACATCCTTTTTAAGGAGATTCGACAATGCCATTACCACTTCCGCAGAGTTGTGACTATACTTGTGCAAGTAATTTGCCAAATCCAACCACTTGCGGAGGTCCTTCTGGTTCCTCGGAACCGGCCAATCCACTATGTCTTTGACCTTAACAGGGTCTGCCCGGATTCCTCGCTTCCCAAATGAAGCATCCCAAAAAGGGAATCTTTTTCGCACCGAAGATGCATTAGTCAATATTGGCATACAACTTATGCATCCTCATGCAGCCGAGCACAGCTCGCAGGTGCTCGATGTGATTCTCCACATCAGTCTTGTCACTTTTGGCTCGACTATGAACGAATATATCGTCAAAGTATGTCTGTACATACGCTCTATGGGGCCGAAACAATTGCGTTACCAGACGATTAAACGTTCCAGGTGCGTTAGACAGCCCTTGGGGCATCACTAACCGCTCCCAGAGCATACCGCTCGGAGTGCTGACCGCTTTCAACGGGATATCACTAGCTCGCATGAGCAGTAAGTAATATCCATCGACTAAGTTGAAGGCATTGTACATCGTACATTCCACCATTTTGCTCTGAAGATCATCCTTGCGAGGAATTGGTGTTTGAGCCGGGATAGTGGTTGCATTCAGCTTATTGTAAGCATGCACTATTCGCCACTTCCCATTAGGCTTTCTCACACAAAACGTGGGCGTAGAGTGAGGAGACTTACTATCACGCACCATGCCAGCCGCGTGCTTCGCACGAAAGAACTCGTCAATGACGTCACATTTTTCTCGTGGCAGCGGCCATTGTTGCGTCACACAGTATTTGGTTCCTGGAACCAAATCAATCTCATGACGTACACCTCTATCCGGAGGTAACACTGTAGGAGGTTCTTTGGAGACAACATCTCCATATTCCTTCAACAAAGGAAAATAAGGATCCGAAGGATCCTTCAGGATCTGTGATCCACTACGCGCATTCAGCGCCTTCTTGGTATCCTCAAGAACTGCTTTATCCAAAAGCGATGAGGAGTATAACTCCTCCTCAGGTCGTTAACGACTACTTCGGCGATGCCGCCTGCCTGTAAGGCGATGCCAAACTCGGCAAAGGTCAACTCGTCCAGCTCTGACAGAACACTTACTGCGGGTATAGCTGAAAGAGCCACCGACCCTTCAACATCCTCAGTTAAACCATTGACGAGTGCATATAGCTGTTCGCTATCACCGTCATTCACGATATTATCATCGCTACTCATGATGATCTCAGCATCCGACGCATCAGCGTCCACAGGTGTACACACCTCAAAGTCAAAGACCACTTCGTTCACTGACTGCACCCCACCCTTTTGGGTCAATGCCTCGTCATGAGGTGCTCGCACCTCGTTGTCCTCAAAGATAACCGTCATTTTTGACTTCACCCGACCCTCTTGGGTCAGTACCTTGTCGTTAGGAGCATGCACCTCGTTTTCCTTAAAGAAAAAATCCATCCGTGACTTCACCCGGCCCTCCAGGGTCATTCCTCGTCACTCGTGTCACATGGACTCATTTCCTGACATCTTGGCTTCCAACCACCAACACCACTTACGGTGTTTAATGATGAAACGTCATTCTCATGACACATGTCATATGTGCCATCTAGTGGGTTCTCAACCACACTGTCGACAGTCCTTGGGCCTCGCCCAGGACTGTTGTCCTTGACACTCACAGTGTCTACAAAGTCGGATATTCCGACATCCAACATATTGACCGACTTGGTCCAATATCCGCGTCTAAAGCTTTTTTTACTTCCTAGCAGAGGTGATTTCATGACTTTCCAGAGCCCCACTAGGAGCATTGCGTGTTGCGCCTAAGGTCTTCGACATCCAATCAATCCATGGCTCATGACGTTCTCGCCATGCCATGCCTAGGATGAGGTGATACCACGCATCCATGTCTAAAACCAAACAGCGTTCCATGCTGTTAAAGTCCAAGAACTTTACATTTAAGTCCATCGGGACTTTGGGTACCGTAACACGCGTACCCGGCGCTAAGCGAACTGTGACTGTGTCACTCTCACGCGCTACAAGCGCTTCAGCATAGTGCTGACGACCTTCCACGATGGTACGGCGCACATAATTGTCAGATGCCCCCGAATCGATCCAAACAATGATCCATGGCTTATCATAGCCCTTAATCTTCCCTTCGACGACTAGCAAGCCTGGCATTCTCGTTCCGTTTTTTAAGAGTTCGGATCTCTTTGGGGCTGGCCCTGTTTACTTCTACCTCCTAAAGGCTCAACAGAACTCAGCTCTTCCCCAGTAGGGCGCCCCGCAACTACTGGATTCCGCCGTTTTCCCGCGACAAACCAGAAGGTTTGTTCATGATCGTCGGTCCCTCGAGGCCAAATATGCCTTTCTTGCAGGGCATTTCGCCATCAAATGGCCTGTGTTCTTGCAGATATAACATCTGCGCACAATTTGCTGCTCTACATCATGAAGCTTAGCTTCTTCATCCTCCACTTGACTACAGTCCATAGGAACAGGCCCATCAGACGAGTAGTTATAAGTGGCAGGCCTAGCGGCCTCAAAGTTGGTCTCGGCATTCCATGCCACTCCAACAGCTTCCTCGAATGAGGACAGGTTTACCTGGAAGACTTCCGTTCTGGCAACGCCAACTCGGAGGCCCTCCATGAAGACCGTGACGGTTACTGCTTCAGGCATAGGGTCTATGACCATGGCAGGAATGAGAGTTTTCAACTCTTGCACGTATGCCGCAAGCTCACGCTTGTCTTGTCGACACGCCAAATACCGCGACCGATTACGGTGTGCTTGGTGTAGCGGTGCATACTGCCGGCTCAATTGAACTTCCAGATCGGCACGTGTTAGGAATATATCTTGCAGTGATGCACCGCATATGAACGATCACTGTTCGGATTAATCACCTAACTTGCCCGTGGCAAAGCCAACACGGTATGATGTCGGCTATAACACAGCCGACTCAACCTGTCGGAACCACAGCATAAGGTTATTACCATTTTTGATGTCGGACTCATTGACTTCCATTTGTATGGGATGTGGTCTGCGGACCACTTCTTGCGCCATAGTCGCCATGGCGAAGGCGCAGAAGAAGGCATCTATGCCTTTACGTGCTCTACTAGAGCTTTATTATATTCATCAAGCATATAGACGCTTGTCAACCTCTTCTTCGCCCTGGGCGATAAGGTATTCCACACCCTTAGGGCCATGGATAGGGAGCAGCTTCTGCAACCCTTCCTGTTGTGCCTGTGACAGGCCAACCGCTGACATCTCCTTGATGTCCATTCTTTCATAGAAAAGTAGTCGCAAATCCAGGTGCGGGATTGACAACGATTGCTACCAGGTGTAGCCGAGCTACTGTAGCCAAGCTACTTATGCACTACATGCAGAGGAAGGCAAGCTGAAAGATCCTATACGTCCTAGGGTTCTTAACCCTCCTAAGGCTAGCTTCACAAGCTTGTGCCTTTTTGTCGTGAACAACCACGTCTCCAAGAGACTAGTATCAAAGGTACAATTTGTTTTACATAGGAAGACAACGCTCTAGCACTTGTGCTATACAGATCAGGTGTGAAACTGATTTATTTAATGTCTAACTTCTAGCACTAAATATAGAAGCACATACTCTATACTTAGTTCTAGTCACTATTTACTGGCTCTGTAGCCTATTACTATGTAAACATGTATAGTCACTATACTTAGCTAAGTATAGTGACCACGTGACGATGTGACCCTTTGTACCTTAGGTATGGTCACATCGAACATACTATTGTACCCAAGGTACAGCAACACACTTGGTGTGGCAGGTGAGTATGTAAAATACACACCTCTGTGTAGTCCTGTTACACATCTTCGTACTTGGTTTGAATTAACAGGTGGCAGCTTGACATTCATTTTCCACTGTCATTTCATCATTGCTGTTTATTTCCAATTCGCTTTTGTCCTCATCACTATCATCCCAGGCTTAATACCACTCATCTCTAGTAATGATCTGCAATAAGTCATCAACAAGTTTCTCCTTGATCACTTTTTCTTCTAGCTCTTTCATTACCTCCTGCTCTATCACCGTCTTCCATATCCTGTATGAATTTTGATCCATCGCCACGTATGCGTCTGTTGCAGTCGTTAAAGACTTGCCAACTCCAACAAATGTATCAGCACTTGGTACTTACATTGTGACGCCAATTTTAATATGTGATTAGCTCGATCTTTCAAATAATGAACGCGATTCTGACAGTCGTTAGGATATGCTGCGCGTAGTACGCTATCAATTCACGGATCTTCTAATCACAACACGCTCAAATCTTAACACAGTACCGTAATACATATTTTCCTTATATCAGTAGACAGAAGCATGGTCAAGGTAACTTATGCATAGCATACCATCTTCAATGCACATAGCTGCCAAGCTTTGTGACGATTGCAGGATCTGACAATACTTGGACCACTATCCACTTGATATTTGCGCCAGGACACATTATCATAAAAACAGTCGTGTAAGTTTGGGTTTGCCTTACTTGCAAACTAGCTTAGCAAACTTATTGTGTTTAGCGAGGATAACTGCAACTGTTGATCTGAGATGTTCTACAATAACGTCAAGGACAACGGAAGTAAGCCGCCTTGCTTTACGCTATGGTGAATTGGCTCTACTTATAAATGTGGTATCCACATGATCGTCTTTTGGAGGCCCATAATCTAAGTCTACCAAAACGTTCACTTTGACGCGTTGGAGAACCAAGATGGTTTGTATGCATGTTATGGATCTATGTGTCGAAGACGACTTAGTAAAGCTATCTAGAACTATCACCTTACCTACTCCAGGCGATCGATAGCGGCCTTAATATCATCGATAAACATTGCGAGGGGCTTAGCACCGTGTACTTGATTGTCGCACGTGCGAATATTAACCTCCTGTGCAGCTTGCTCCTTGTCGCCGACAACGAGAATGTAATTGTAGCCTGCAACCTGCGCTTCACGCACACGCTTGTTAAGCGTCTTGCTGCCGTCTTGTACATCTACGAACAAGCCACGTGGAGTGGCCGTCTGCAACTTGCTTGCCACCTCACGAGCATACTCACGATGAACTTCGGCAATTGGTAACACAGCCATCTGCCTAGGACTGAGCCACAGCGGCCACTTGCCACCAGTGTGCTCGATCAGAATTGCCATCATCCGCTCAATTGACCCTAGCACGGCACGGTGAATAAGAATGGGAGTATGAACCTCGCCATCAGCACCGTTGTACGCGAGCTTAAAATTTATAGGCAGCTGGAAATCCAGCTGGATCGTACCGCACTGGTGCTGACGCTTCAAAGCATCCGTCACTACAATGTCAATCTTTGGGCCGTAAAATGCACCATCGCCTTCGTTGACACTCCACGGTTGACCAAAGTCGTCCAAAGCTAAACGCAACTGATCTTCTGCGTCATCCCAGAGCTCGAGATCGCCCATGTACTTCGTTGGACGCGTCGAGAGACGCAGGTTGAGCTTAAAATCGAAAATGCCATACACGTGCCTGACGAAATCGAGAGCTTGAGAGATCTCCGACTGTACCTGAGCTGCTGTGCAGAAAATGTGTGCATCGTCCTGGTGAAATCGGCGAACGCGAGTGAGTCCCGTAAGTGCACCAGAAGCCTCGTTACGGTGAAGCGCAGAGAAGTCGGCAAGGCGAACAGGTAAATCTCGGTATGAGTACTTCTTCGCTTCGCGAAAAAATCAAACAATGTCCCGGGCAATTCATTGGCTTCAGTCCGAACTGGTCAGCCTTGTCTTCAGCATGAGCAGAAATTCTCTTCCCATCCTGTTCTTCACAAACCTTTTTGTCAATATCTGTGACAATGCCTTGCGAAACCATATACATATCATCTTGATAGTTCTTGAGATGACCCGACGTTTCCCATAGCTCTTTCTTGAAAATTAAGGGTGTGATTACTTCGCCATATCCACGACGGCGATACTCCCCACGAATAAACTCGGCAAGCGTGTTAAATACTCGAGTGCCATGAGGCAGGAGAAATGGCGATCCTGGACTTAGCGGGTGAAACATAAAGAGCTGTTGGGCACGACCGATGAGGCGATGATCACGCTTGTTTGCTTCTTCTTGCAAATGGCGCCACTCCTTAAGTAGCGTATGATTTGGGAACGACACAGCATACACGCGCTGCAACAACTCTTTTCCTTCCCAGTGTGATGCACCACATCGCGTGATCGCGAAAGATGACAGCATACCTGTCAAATGTGACATAGCAAGAGTGCAAACCGTTAGTTCAGGCTAATGTCTACTGCAATGTTTGCCCACGTGTAGCTTATCAACGCTCATTGTGAGAGGAGAAAGTCGTTCGACGGGCAAGTATGTTTCTATAGGACTAAGTGAGAGTATCCACAACGTGGAGAAGAGCAAAACACATTGCATCGCCTTTTGGCTGTTCCAAGCTCTCTTCAGCTTGTTTGAAGCAGCAGCTGTCCAGTATGCAAATACCATGCATAAGTCACCTACCAGTGTGAGCGACGTGGGGACCACGGCACAAATCAATAAACGGGCCGCAGCGGTAAAGAGAAATCGTCTCTCCCTCGACAATCTTATTCAGCATAACCCTTTTGAAGTCTGAGTAGGCAAACAGCTCATGTGCAAACTCGCGCGTCACCTGCAGTCGTTCAAACGGCTGTCTGGCCTTGACAATCGTCTTGATATTGCGCGCAAGCTCGTCAAAGTCTGTCTCGGATACTGTCAGTCCGTCTTGTAGAAACATCTCGTAGAAAAAGCCTCCCTCACTCAACGTCGGGCCGTCCGTCAGTCGAATGTTGTCCTGATATTTGTCTTCCAAAGCCTATTAATGACGATAACAAGAACAAGAATCAGAATGAATTCGCGCATTAAAACCGCTTGAGCCAAACACAATTAAAGTTTACAGGACGATGCACTTACCTGTCCTAAAACGTGCGCCGACGAGTGCCAGAACACGCTTTGACCTTCTTCACTTGAAAAACTTTACCCACATAACGATACAATTAACTTAACATTATAATCTCCATAATACCTCATTTATCGCTTCCTTACTCAAGCAATTGCAGCGAACCAGAGCGTTCCAGCGGCATACACAGGTCAAGTAATTTGTCTTCACTCTTGACAGCCAACGCTTGAAACTTTGGCAATCCTATCTCATGCATTTTTTTCAATATATCAATTGACGTGGATGCACCTGCTACACCTCGAAAGGTAAAGACGCCAGGCGATGTCTTCCCTGGATATTGCACTGTTAGTTCCAGTGGCTCTGCGCATGTCAGCGCTTGGTCTATTGCCTGATTCCGTGCCTCCTTTTGACGATCCATCTCCTTCTTCCATAGATTTAATCGATCATCACGGATAGAAAGCGTATTTAACCTCATACGCTGCTGTAAATGCAGCAACAGAGGAAGGCGTCTACACCTCGTGGTACCAAGCATTTTGTGAGGATTATTAATATAGGAGACTGTGTATGATATGATGATTGGTTGATAATATATTATTGAGCGATGTGATTTATTTGTGTCAGTTAGTGTAAACAAAATTGAAGCTTTGTTATTTGTAAACCTTCTGATTTGTTGTATGTATAACAAAATGAAATAAAGCATTGTTTTGATTCGACAAAAAATGAAACAAATAGTGCGTCGTATACAGAACTGGTCATTAAGTCGCAAGGAAGTCCGACTTCACTTTCGCTGCACAAAGTGCGGCAAATGCTGTACAGGAACTGGTGGTCGCGTTCGTGTAAATGAACAGGAGATACAGGAACTGGCAGTAGCCACTAATTTACCTTTGACCGAGTTAAAGCAGGGATATACCTCAATTATTCAAGTAGAGGACGCGAATGGACATAAAAAGACGCAACAGGTGCTGAAACAAACACCTGACGATCGTCAGTGTATTTTCTTAGAAGGTTCCAAGTGTTCTGTCTATAACAATCGGCCGACACAATGTCGGACGTTTCCATGGTGGCCGCAACACCTCGTGTCCGACTATGATTGGCATGTCACAGCTAATAAATGTGAAGGAATCCGTATGTTTCAACAAGGAGATGAGCAAAAGGACAGTATAGGCTATTCATTTGATGATGTGATACCTGAAATGATACTACACGATGTAAGATAGCAAAAGAATGACGAGTATAAATTATTTATGGATTAACTTGCAATGTACTAACTTGTCGTGATTTTTGTTATCAATAGATTCACCAGTCAGGTGAAAATTTTACCTATGACCAATTACAACAGATGCTATGGGATTTACAAGAAGTTGATCCAAAGTTTATGGAGCAGTACAAGGCCGAGCTTTTTCAAAAGTTTTCAAGACGAATTGTCTTTAGTAACAAGGAAGTTACGGTTCTGGACAATTTTGTCGATAGTATTGCTACACGCAGCTTGGTGTTCAATAATCGTATGCACTTGATTCAGAGTGAAATAGCGATATGTGAAACATCGAATGCCAATACGGACGCCGAGCCAGAATTTGATCGAACCACTTTGGCTTTTGATGTCCATCGAGCATTATGTATGCCTCTTGCCTGGCTTCTCCAGCGTGACGCGAATATACGGCCATTGCGTGCGTCTGTGCTCGGAGCAGGAGCATGTATACTACCACTTTTCTTACTGGAGCATTTATCGCCTCAGGAACTTGGGTGGCTTGATGCTGTCGAGCCAAGCAGTCAAGTTAATATTATTGCGCAGCACTTTTTTGGAGTTAAAGCGGCTATACAGCGGGACGAACGGCTTTTAATCCACGAAAAAACGGGCGAGGATTTTCTTGTGGAGCAAAAAGATGTTGCCTTTGATTTACTGGTGCTGGATGTTGAGGCTGGTGAGAGTTTTGCTGGTGTACAAGCACCCCCGATCGCAATGTTGGAACCAAGCTTTTTGTATGAAACGGTGCGTGTACTAGCCCCACATGGCATCCTGGCAATCAACGTGATCACCGAGTCAAAAAGGGTGCTAGATGATGTAGAGACCAAGCTTGCACACGTGTTTACGCGTGGACTACGCCTTTCACTACCAGCCAACACAACGTTCTTCCTGTTTAACGATAAACGAGACGACAGCACCCCCTTAGCAGTGAATGAGTTCATTCGGCTGGTCCGGGAAAGTTCGTTTCAGACGCAGCATGCACAGACGTCAGCGCTGCTAGAAACATGCCACCTGACTGCGTGGGTCTCAAAAAAAACAATGCGTCCGACAACGGCCTGAAAAATATGTCATTATAACAAAAGCAAACAAATCTGTCCATACGTTAGTAATTTTTTTTGTCATAAGCTGCGCAAGTGAGAAAAGTAGACGAACGGATTGGGAACGCTGAGTGCCTGAGACGACAAAGTATCGAGGCGGGATTTATTGTTTATTGTTTGTTGAATAAACTTTGAACGCTTGCTAGAAAAGCGTACCTTGGTTTTAACGATGTCACTTGCCTTCTAAGCCAGAAGCCGCTTTACGATAATCTCAAATGCAGCGGTCCTTACAGTGAAAAGGCATGCCAACTTGCCTTTGCTAGACCAGCTTCGAAGAGCCAGCCGTCATCTGGTGACACAGTGGCTTTCCGTGTCTTGCCGTTCGACTTAACTGTAACCTGAGTCTAATGGTGAAAATCGTTTCGCGATCGCTCTTTGGTTCATGATGATTAATAATTGGAGTGAAAGCATGTCACTCCAGACGCTAGTCACACACTCGACTCTCAGTCATTTGACCTTACTAATAGTCTAACAGCGTTGTATGTTCAGCCTTTCAACTACAAAGCAATTCTATCTAGGCTTTAGAGCAATTCTTCAGCACAAACACGTCGAGGAGCACTTTTGCACGTTTCAATGTAGCCCCAAACTCTTGGCAACTTTATCTTGTGCCAGCAAGTTAAGTACAGAACAGCTTTGAGGTAAATATTGACACGCACTACTACGCTTCTAGTTTTTTTTATCAGGTTAGATAAAGTTTAATGCTAGTATCGTCACTGGAAGTTACCAACGCAATGTGACATGTTATCCAAATCGAATGTTTTCGTTCTTGTTTTCCGTATTGTATTGAGAGGCTCAATATGACAAGCGTCATTTGTCACATGGATGTTTTGTTGATCTTTTAAACCACACACACATCAACACTTGGAGCAAGTACGGATATCAACACAAGCGATAAGCTGGAGCACTATCGTACAAACACGAGACTAAAGGAAATAGAACACGCTACGGCGCTGCCTAAGTGCAAAAAATAAGTTTACGTTGATGACAATGTGCTCACGCTACACGAGACTAGAAAGCTTCCAATTGTCAAGGCAACAAGTACCGAAGGCGTCACGTTTGCGCCAATAGCGTTCAGTCTTCTATCGAAGCAACTAAAATAAGCGCCATAACCTCCACTATCCCATGTAAATGAACGCATAAGCTACAAAATCAAGTAAGCGGCATAGGCCAGTCTAGAATTCGTAGCTTTCCCCGTCAGCTGAAGATACACGTCTCGGCCGGATGCCCTCGCTAGGTGGTGGGTCGTCATCTGATGCTATCGAGACATAAGAGTCAGATGCACAGAACGATTGGTCATGAAAATCGTACGTAGACTGTGTGTTGTTGAAGTCGTTTTCCGTCTTGGTCGCATTAATTGCCGAGTCAGCAACGTTCGTGCCATAGCTACTCCCCGTCCCATCGGTACCATAGCTTGAGCCGCTGAGACCAGAGCTATAGCTAGATCCCTCCAAGTCACTGCAAAAGCTACTTTTTTCATCGTAGTCACTCTGGCTGCTTGGCTTCGTAAAATCGCCAGTTTTGCTAGCGCTGAATTCAGAACTAGCAACGATATCAGTCACAGTGCTAGACTCAAAATCAGCAGGACCTACAAGGTCCGCGGCACTGACTATGTCGCCTGCGTATTCGCTCGCACTGTTCATGGTATCGTCAAACTTCATCTTGGCATCAATGTCGACCGAGCTAATAGTGCTGGCAAAATCGGAGCTGACGTTCGAATTCGCAAAATTAGCTATACTGTTATCATGAACAACAAACTCGATGTTGTCGCTAGCATTGGTGTTAGCAAGCCCATTGGAGTTGGCATGATCAGGTTTTGCCACCTTTGCCTTTGCAATGGCAGACATTGTTAGCGTCTCATCCAGGGGCTCAAATATAATTGGCTTTTGGTTACGAACAGAAGGTTCATCTTGCGTAAAGTCCACAGTTCCAATCGAGGACACCGAGCTGCTACGATTTTCGCCAACATCTCTGCCGTTATCGTCGGGCCCAGATATGAGCAAGGCATCCATCGTGTCACCACGCATGCGAGGAGGTCGCTGCTCATACATGTCGTATTCCTCAGTTTCACCCATGCTCGACAGGTCTGATTCGCGCCCATAGCCACTAAGAAGCGGATTGATTGCAGGCTGTGAGAAATGCGAGCCGTCCGTTTTGTATTCGAAGGAAGAGCCCATCGAGGTTTCGCTATCCATCGATGGCCCTCTCCCATCAGGCCCGATGCCGAAAGTCTCGAGGTCAGGTGTACGCCCATATTCAAGGTTCGGGTCTTCTTCGACAATACGAGACTCACCTTCGTACATCGAGTCCTCGGGATACATCGACTGTGAGTTGCCAAATGGGTCTCTCGCAGAGCATCCGGAAGCGCCAAATTTATTGCCAGACCGCTGCATCGGCGTGTCGTAATTGTTGTAAATGAGCCCAGAGTCACCAGGACCACGACTTGAGTAAAGAGAACCTGATGACGACACCGTCTTATTCTGGCGGCTATTTCGGTCATTAAACGCGAGGGCACTCGCATTCAGGCCTGGGCCACGGCAGCCGTTGGACCGATTTCCTGCCGAATAGTTGTCCTTGAAGCCAGAGCCGTGTGAAGTCAATCGTACCTCAGGCTCAGCGTTCCAGTCCAAATGGGACTTGGATTTGTTAGCGGCGTAGGAAGCTGGTAGTCCAAAGCCACTGTTGCGGAAATGGTCGGTTTCCGGTCCAGGTCGGCGCTTACCACGCCAAAACACGACCGACAGAATGACGACAATGACAAGAGCTACTCCACCAATGATCATGCCCACCGTTACACTCGTCGGCAACCCTGAATCATCTTCCGCACTCGACGTGCTTGCCTCCACATTTGTCGTTATGAACGATACAAAGTGATAACTCTTCTTCAGATAGTCCTTCGGCGGCAGAATAATGTGCGCAAATACATTTCGCTCACCGGCGCTGTTATACGTGATTTTCTGACGAAAGCTGGCGGTGCCTTCGCTAGTAAAGTTGGCGGTTTCCTGATCAGCAATTTTGCGGTTCCCTCCTGCTCGGAAAACATCGCACACGGTAGAGCGTGCGCACGTGTGGATGTTAGCGTGACCGACCTGCATGGGAACGCCCGTGGTCGGGTCAGCAACCGCCATTTGTAGCTCGGTAATATCAAAAGCGTTATCGTTCAGATTTAGTGTCGCCGTGAAAGCGTACTCAACCTCACTGCCTTCGACAATGGTGCCGGTCGTAGTCTGCTCCAAGGAGACGGTAAGCGGGCATTCAGAACCCGTTCCTTGCTGGAGAACATAGGCAAAGTCTAGGTTGGTCACCTGCATGCCTTGATCCATCCAATAGCAGTATGTTGTGGTACCATCATACTTGTAATCTGACCATATAATAATAAGACCCCTGTTTGACTGATGCGCATCAATTACATGGAGAGGAAGGTCAAAAACGTACCGTAAAGCGAGGGAGCAGTATTAGCTGAGGCAAAGGCGTTCATTGCAAAGAATATAACAGCGACCTTCCTCAGCTGCAGCAAGCTCCTACGCCGGACCTTCATGACGTAAAAGCGGGTGGAGTAAAGAGAGCGCTGTGAGCGGGAGGATGAAGCAATGGCTAATCGGTTCTGGCTTCTTACCTCGCTACGTTCGACGATTATTGCTGCATCTGTACACAGGGGTGGGTCAAATGAGGACGGATGATTGGCTATTGCGAGGAGCTATTGAGACTGTGTGCACTTAATCTCATTGAGGAAGGATTCAAGAAAAGAAAAAGAATAATAACAGTGTAGCTAGAAAATCGATTATAGTGCTCTTGACTGCATGAGCAGGTTTAGTTCAGCATTGATCAAGAAATGTAACAAACAATGTAGTATCACTACCGTTGCAAGGCTCTACCTTTTAATGTCCCTTCTTACTAAGCTTCTATCTAATCCGTCCCTTTTGGATGTGTCAGCAATGTGACATGTTTACACTAGCATGCTCTATAATTCATTCTTGAAGGAGTATACGATATGAGCAGCACTTTGTAATATACCGGTGTTTGTGTTTTATCTAAAAATACAAACTATAAACGTTACGAGACAACAAGAAACAGCGTCGGTTACGTTTCTTATAAAACAAGAATACTGTGAAAGTCAAATACTTGAAGGTATCGCTGACGTATGTAAGTAAGAGCACTACTACCTTATATAGCGTCTGAGTAGGTAAACATTTCCATCCATATATTACACAAAACGATATAATGTACCTAGCGTTGTTTAATACTTTTGAAGTAAGCCATGCAATTGTTGCCTCTAAACCAAAGTGTACTGACACTACAGACGATATAACCAGCTATCTGGTATGAATACGTTTGACAACTTTACACGGTAAATAACAATGTAACATTAATGGTATCAGTACATGACGAAAAAAATTTAATCACATTATTAAACGTTGTAGAATGCCTCGTTGCGACAAAAAACGTTTTGTCTTGGTAGACGGGTAGCTGCTCATTGGGGTGAGTCGGTTCATGTTACTCATTTCTGAATGCGCAATTGCAGGCACTATGTTTACAGCGAGCACCTACTTGTCTGTGAGCTATAATTTCGTCTTCGACCCGGTCCATCCTTGTGAGAACTGCTAACGTTTTCACTGTGCGCAATGTCTGGTATTACAACCATGACGATTTGACTGATTCTCGTTTCTAACTGTTGGTTTGCCACAGCTTTCATTTAGTGAGACCGTCATTATTAGTTGGTAAACATTATTTTCGGCATCAAGTCTTTAAAGCTTCATGGGAGACATGCAAGAATGGTGCCACTGTTTTCGGTTGACGATTACGTAGTCTGGCGTTATTACGAGAATGTGCTTGGCTGCTGCGGTCGTATCTATCCCGTTCGTCTGGCGTCCGTTCTTATGAGCGCGGTTTGTGCGCTCTTTCTGATCATCTCGCGTGCGTTCCTGATCGTTCCTGTCACGCTTTGCAGGCATCGCAGATCGCGTCACATGTACTGTCTACCCCCCGTCTTTACTTGTGAGACCTTCGCGCCCCACTTTGTCGTCGTCTATTAAGCGCCCATTACCCGCGTAGTATCCATCATTCAACTAGATCCTTCGTCTACATTCGATCCAGTTTGCGTTGTTAGGATTTCAATGGCTTGGTGCAATTCCTTTCAAACCTTATTTTATGTCAAATGTAGAACTGTCAAAGTATCTAAAAAAACTAATAACTTCAATTCATTAATTATCAAATTTCTTCATGAGCTCAGCAGCGCTCATGCCGTCAAAACTCCGCCGGTCGTGCAGCCTGCTTGCGGGTGTGTTGCTAATGTTAGGAGTTGGCTCAACATACGCCATGTCGGCGTGGAATGCGCAGCTTAAGATCCTGCTGCACTCTACGCAGGCGGGAATCTCCATGGTCTCTGCGATGACAATGTTAGGAACGTACATGTCGTATATTCCAGGCGCTATTTTCGATCGATTAGGACCATACACAAGTGTGTTAATGAGTGGATTCGCGATTCTGGTTGTCCATCTATCCATTTTCATAGTGCTGCAATTTTCCCCAGAGAGCGGAAGTCCATTGGGCATAGGCGCGGCAATGATGTTGTTTGGACTTCTTAGCTCCTTCTGCGTCTTTGCATCCATGGTGACGAATGAGTCGCTATTTGGAGATGCCAACCGTGGTAAGGTCATGGCAGTCCTTACTTCAGCTTACAGCTGCGGTGGCGCCTTCTTTGCCTTTGTTTTCCACGAGGCTTTCCACAGTCGTGACGTGCCAGGGTACTTCCTATTTGTAGGAAACTACCTGCTAGCCGCGTGCGTTTTCGGGTGGCGCGTGTTCGCTTTTCCAATGCGTGAGGATAATAGCACGGACACAAAACGTAGAGTTGAGAGTCTGGAATTTAATCTCGGTAGGAGTAGTATGGAATTCGATGGACTAGTAAATAGTGCAGCTAGTAATATGCCCGACGAGATTACAGGTGTGGCCTTACTGACAGATAAGCGGTTCTGGATGCTATTTTTTCCAGTGATGATTGTTGTTGGTGCGGGGCTGCTGATTATGTCTAATGTGTCATTTATCGTGGAGTCATTGGATGGACCAATCGAGCAAGTCCCCTTTATGGTGGCGCTATTTTCAATTGTTAACATGTTTGGTCGTCTCGCAACGGGAGCTGTCTCGGATCTTCTTCTTGCACGATATCCTCGTGCGTACTTTGCTGTCATCTCGGCACTTCTTACAGCCCTTACGCATGTGGTCTTCTTGTCTGTCCCACCCAGTTGGCTTGTTTTGCCTGTGGGTTTGGCTGGTTTTTCTGAGGGAGTTATGTTTGGCTCATTCCCTGTTATTATTCGTGAGGAGTTTGGTGTGCAGAACTTTGGCAAAAACTTTGGTCTCATAAGTCTCGCTAACTGCATTGGGTACCCTCTTTTCTTTGGTCCGTTGGCGTCGTACGTGTATCAGCGCTCAGCAACAACGCATACCACGAACAGCATCGAGAAATGCTTTGGTGGCCAGTGTTTTGGACCCGTGTTCGTCGTGGTCATCGTGCTCTCAATAGTGGCGTTTGCCTGTTGCATACATTTGGCACGGCTGCAGCGACGTTACAAGTATGACAGATATCAGCACATTCAGCTTTAAGTTAGAATGTGCGTCACAATGGGCAAATACACCCAGAAACACCAACGAATCGCTCGGCTTTCATATTCGTACATCGATAACTTTGAATACTAGGTGCCAAAGATAACATCAGCTAGTAGTATCCAATTACCTTACAAAGTTAGTATGTAGTTGTATATGAGGGTACAATGGCTAGAACTAGCTGCTGTTTCTAATGGAAAGCACTAAAAGGAACAACAACAAACAGCTTGAAAAGTGATGACGTCAAGTTTACGTTTACAAAGAAGAGTAGACGCAGAATAATTATTTGCTGGCTAAGTACTGCAGTGAGCGTCGACCAAAATTGCTGTCCACTCGCGGGATTTAGAAAACGTAACAACGTCCGAGCTGCTTGTACCCGGACCAACACTTAACAACATTTGATAATTATGTATACCTTTCAACTCCTGTACGCCGAGGGTATACAGAAGTTGAAAGGGGTAAAATCATGGTGCAAAGTTCCACCAGGGCATTATAATGGGTATGTTAGCGTGTAGAATGAAGAAGGTACAATAAAATAGTTCATCACCGAACGCTTCGTTTAAGAATCAACACAGCTCCAGCAAAGTGTTGCTGCTACCTGGCAAAGTACATCATGCAAGTAAGACATGGCTTGCCAGCGGGTAAGTTGTGTATCTGGTACTACTTGTTGCTGAACACAACAACATGAGGAATATTAAAGCTCGTTTACTTGATAGATATGAAAACTTAGCTATTGTGCCAGAGCTTGACATGCTGAGTCTTTGTGATACGACTTAGTTAGAAGAGCATTACTATCATCGTGTTTTCGAAATAGAATAGGATCAAACGACATCGGCTTTTAATAAATCGGTTTTTTACAATTGGTCAGGCCGCGACGACTATAGCATTCACAGATTATCATGTGCCGTGTTCGGCTATTCTGGCGAGGTTTCAATATTCTCATCTTTCGTACGTTTTTAACGAAAGCTTGGTATCGATTGGAAACGTGACGAAACGTCGAAAAAGCCCAGTTCAATACGTCTGTTGTATGCATTTCACTTCTCTTGTCTTAGCAACAACCGAATCTCTATAGCAATCGTATGAAATCATATGCTCCGTAAGAATACGATGCAGGTGGTGTCTTGCAACCGTACCATTGTTCATTTCGAACGTTTGCTATTGTTCATTGCATACGTTTTTGTCGGTTTGTTGGATCGTAAAGCTTAATTTGCTCTGTAGATCTTCTTATGATAGGATCGGCAACATCTTGTAGACAACCACCAGTTGCGTCTATAAGTTTTTGCATCTCGATAAAATTGTAAGAAGGTCTTCACACCAATGCAAGCTTCCCAACTTTAGTATCAAAAGTGCTTTGGAAAAGACTTCTATTGTTTTAAATCTGTTTTCGCCTGACGCATACTTAAGGCCACGAAGATTTCTAGCAAGCAACACCACGATTTTGGAACGCTTGCTTCATCGTGTTTGGCGGACTACTTGGGTTTTATGGTGTAAGTGTTGCTTGGAACCGTCTGATTGTTTATCGTTCAAAGTACAGGTCCTTTAACTACAGAATAGGTTTTCCGTCCAACAACGCGATAATGGACGAAATAAGTCGCACGGCCTTACGCTAGTAAGAAGAAAAGCGGACCCAGCTCATATTGCGGTAGGAAGCTATGAGTGAGACCGCCATTTCATCCAACCTCCTCATACTGCAACACACGTCGCCGTTCCCACAAACATGTTCAAGCGGCCCGCGCGGGACCAACCTTTTTCATATTGATTAGTGCATGAAATAATGTAACCAGTCTTCTATGTGTCGTTAGCAATATTTGACCTTATGTTTCTCGGCTTCACATCCATCTACCACACTTTACACTTTGCTCGTAATTTATTGTACGTACTCGGCTCAGCGACGTCTAATTTTTTTTTAAAAAAATTTAACTTTAGTAACTTGTTTGTAAATGCTCTTATTTGGTTTATTTTATGTTTGTGCTGAAGAGTCGGACCAAACTTCTGTTGCAATAAAACCATTTAAAACTGCATATTTAAGTTCTGTGAGCATTCAATTGGCCACAGATTTGAAGACACAGAACGACTCAAATATGTATGCATGTAACAATCAATAGCCTATATCTTAACATAGCAATGCATTCTTACTACATTTAAACGCCAAGTACATGATAGGACATTTATGAATATCCTGTGTACTTGTATTCTATATGGTCCGTCAAACTCGTATCTAACTGTAAGTTTCTCTGAAAACGATTGACCATATTTGTCAAAAGAGAATATACCGACAGCTGTAGTAAGACCAGAATTGATAATGAGCTCGATGACGCAGCGTAAGCTCACGGCATCCGCTACTGTGGCACAGGCATGTCGTCAGGCCGTGGCAGAGCTTGAGAATTGGTCACTTTGGGCCTACCGCTCCACCACAGGAGAGGAATGGGACGCGCAGCCTGCTTGTTTCATTACGGATTATCTGTTAGCCGTACAGTGCTTTACTTTTGCCGTGTACATTGGCCTCTTTGCCGCAACAGACAAGGGTGATTTGGCTTGGTATTTTATGTACTTCATGGCGCTTGGGATTTCGGCGGCAATGGGCGGCTTACTGCACCATGTTGCCTTTGAGGCCATGCGTGATATCGCGCAGAAGCAAGAGAATCAACTCGTCAAGACCGCACGCATCTTTGGCATGAACCTCAGTCGCTCCACTGTGGATAATATGATTGATGTTTTGTGGCGCGTTGTGCTAGCCTGTTCCATCTTTACCAACTTTTCGCTGCTTTCTCTAGCTGCCAGCCGCCACTTGCCCGAGACCTGGGCCTACTCTATCATCGCCCTGGCTGCCATTTTCTATGTGGTGCTGGCTGTATGGGCTAGCGTCAGCATGCACGCGGTGTTTCTTTTCGTTGGCTTCATCCCTGTAATGGTATTTGGCCCTATCGCTTGCTTTATGACGTGGAACTGGGAGTGGAGCCATTCGACTAATGAGCTGCTTGTGTACGGCGTCAAGCTCGTGGGTGGCCTCATCCAGGGTCTCGTATGGGCTCCTAGCAAGGACAAGTTTAATCACAACGCCTTATCGCACGTGTTTCTCAGTATGGCAGCAACGCTCATGCTCATTCACTTTAAGTTCTAAGATGCGTTTGAGCAAATAGACAACAGTGTTTGGGCAAAGGTGTCAGCTAGTTATATAGGAACACAATTAGGCTTGCTTGTTTTTCGTGGATTGATAAGAAAGACATAGAAGCTGAGTGGTGAAGGCAATTTGAACCTAAGCAGTTGTTTATCTGGTCCATTGAAAGAGTTTGTGGTGCAGTGGTTTTGAATGGTTGTGGATATGGGATACAGTGAATACGCACGAGGTACGCAGCATTCGAATTACGGATATTTTCACCGTGAGCTCAGCAATTTTTGAGACTTGAGCGCGCACACGCCTGCAAAGAGCAACAAGTTACCGTAACCAACCTCGACAGCATCTTGATGTGTTCTTACACGCTAATAATGTCCAGCCCGGTAAAGGAGAAACTGCTCGGTAGCATAAACATCTTTGAGCGAAATTCCTTTATGCGGATATGAAACCACCAAGAGACACACTGTGGTGACAAGTGGTGCTTAGCATTGTTTTAAGGGTGCAAAACTCGTCATGAAGCTTTAACTTTGCAAACAAACGCCATGTTATGCAACCTCCTGTCGGGCACATCAATCACAATTCGCAGGAGTGCATGATTCGTTTGACTGACAACAGAGTTTTGTGCATGCCTTTCTCGGCCTTAGCTTGCAAGACGACACTATAGGTGTACTAGCTAGCAAAGAAAGCCGAGAATAGGATACATGATGGCAGTTGGTGTAAGGGTTGTTGTTCGAAGTCAACGCTTATTTGCGAACAGATCTTAAGCTATGTGCAAGAGAGAAACTGGATATATGCTTTAGTTGGTAATGACTACAGACGGCGCTCTTCATCATCGGGCCAATAGTGAGCAGCCCATTTGAAACAATGATTGTCATACTAGTTTTAATAAATTGGACGAAGAAACAAATGTAGACGACAATCTCGGATTTTTAACACGATATCAATATATTTGCAGATGACATTGCAAGCATTTGAGCTGCTCATGAATCCATATCTTGCATGTTGGCTTGAACTAAATACACCTTAGATGCAAGTAATAAGGATCAGAGACAACTATAACAAATGCAAAGCATGCGTCGATTTTGACAAGTGCCAGGCAACATTGTAACCAGCGTCATGACGACGTGCTACAAGATTTGTATTAATTCGTCAAGAGCACATACAAAAACCTTACGCTGTCTACAGCGCAAAGGATGCATGTAACGCAATGGTATTATTCTGTGTAGGAGGACCAGTACCTCTTGTTTCAGCTTTAGTCATTCCAGAAAAAAAAGACTAGCCATTGCTGGGTTAACGTGGTAGCCTCTATGATGCTTTCATTTCAAAAGGCACAGTAGTAAATCACACAACACATTTACTTTGTGTTCCAGCGATTACGAGTACGCTACGAGTAAACAGTTGCCTGAGTGGCACAGGAGGACCGATCGTTGTGTACGATACAAGTGTACGATGAGGCAATAGCGACAACTGAGTACCAGAGTGACAACGCACTTGTCGACGAAACCTTTGGTAAATAATGACTACATGAGCAGTTTTTCTGGCAAATCATGACGGCAGTATATAAGGAAGTCAAGTAGTGCTAACGTTGTGTCATGCATATCATGGTGCAAGGATAAATATGACTACAGAGGCCTTCGCTTGTGCTTTCTTCATTCTTCTTTCTCGTTCGTGACATATGAAGCTATGGCAGCATCATACCTCAATGTCAAGACGCATTCGTTTGTCAGCTCGAGTACCATAGGCGTGGGTGTCAGGACGCATCCGTCTCATTACAGCCGGATCGATATTTCTTGCGAAGAAAATACCCGAAGACAAAGGCTTTTGTCTCAAGCTAATACAAGGCGTGTCACTATACCCGTAGACCTGATTCCATGCTTTACTGTCTCGGCCACGATTCGAACCAAACACATCTGCAGATGTTGTAGACAGAAACGTGCAGTCCATACTTCGGTAAGAATCGACATCCCAGAATGTTGATGGAAACACGTCGTCCCCTTCTGAGCTATAGCTATACTCTGAGGACACTGGCGATTCGAGTACATCGATCGAGTAGTCGTCAGTGTGGGAGCTGTTGTCGCTTTCTGCTTGACTATCGTTCAGGCCACGTCCTCGAGCTGGCGCGTAGACTAGAGTCGGTGGCCCTAGTCTCGATTGGCGATTGCTGGGAGATACAATGCTGTAGGAGCTTGAAACAGCGCTGGCTTCGGTCCATAACGGCTTCATTTCTTGGGGATGACCTTCTAAAAGCGTGCACTCGTTCTTATTGGTTTCACCGAGTACAGGAACGACAGATTCGCTTGAGTTGGTTTCTTCGAGGCGGCTATGACTCGCTTCCGGAACGGCAAACGTCGTGCGTTTCATACAGAAACGCGAGTTGTCCGGTGGTGGGTTGGCGTCACATTCGCTGAGAATTGCATCATTCTTGCTTCTTCGGAACACAAGCATAAGAAACATGAGACCCAAAGGAATCACAAGTCCTGCAATTATGACGATGATGAAGATAGTAATGTCAGAGCTGTCAGTGATCGATGGCTGCATGGTCATGTCTTCCTGGTCCGATTGGGGCTCAAATGGCACTACATTTTTGTCGCTACTGCTACCATCGTCGATATCAAGTAAGTTTAGTTTTCGAGAGAAGTTCTTGTAGAGCTTTACATTGCTGTCGCTGCCTGCACTAATTGCATGCGTTAGAGCTGAAGCGAGTTGTATTAATGCTTCATTTGGTCGTGCCATGTTTGACATGGCGAGCTCGATTGGAAAATAAAGCTCAACATCGCAGCGTCCAATGCGAAGCATGTCTTTGCCAACCGCACACTCTCAGGTGTCAGGTGATGCTGCCAGATTTTACGTCATTCCATAGATTTAGTAGTTCGGTGCAGACGACATACTAAGTGGACGCTACCCTCCCCTTCAATAAAGTGGTTTGCAATCTGCTTTACACAATTATGGAATTGGAAGTGGGTGATGAAGCGGTCAACCGTGGCGAGTGATTTAAAATCTATTATACTGCTACGTTTGTTTTACTCTATCGTTACAGATGGGCCAACATTAAGCCTATCTTGGCATAAGATGACTGAGCACCTACGCATTCAGTAAAGCATTTCTGTGAGCATAAACGATCTCTGAGTGCATCGAGAAGATCTCGGACTTCGCTCGTTGTTTTTTTATATCTGTCAATACGACCACAAACAGGATCCGGCCTAACTCCAACTCAGCAAAAGCTGCAGGACTCGTCAGATAAGTGGGGACCAGATCACAATTATGCAGCATGTTTTTTTACTACAGGGCAAAAACGAGGTCCGACCGAGACAATCACGCAATTGTTAGACTGTTACACTATATTGTTGAAAGCAAAGACTAAGCGATACGTTACACTTGATGTAGTCTGCAAGCGGGCTTGCCTAAGTATTCGTCCTGATTAATCTAATGCTCGAAGAAAATTTTACTGCGATCATGGCGAATGAACACCACATTTTAGCATGTCGCTATCCCAAGTGTAAGCGCGCGAGGGTCGCAAATTTAATTTATCACCCAGCTAAGGTGTATCAAGATTTTATGGTGCCGTATTTCGCTTCAGCAATAAAACAATCTCGAGCGGCAATAGTGCCGCGAGAATAAGGTGTAGAGAAGATTTGAGTGTAATACGGAAAAACAACGATACCTTTAGTCGGTTTACAGATGTGTGTATTCGGTTGCGCGACTTAGATTATGTTTTATCTTCAGCAAAGTTGTAACGGGTTTCACTAAGGCCTGCCACATTATTGTGGTGTGGCTGTATCTACATTGGAATCTTTGTTACATTGGTGTGGCTGTACCTTGGGTACAGTGGTAGGTTGATGTGACCGTACCTAAGTTACTAAGGGTCGCATCGTGACAGAGCCACGAAATCATTATACTTAGTTTAAGTATCATAAATATAACTGTATTTTTACTTGGAGGCTACAAAGCCACATAAATTGTGACTAGCACTAATTATAGGGCAGGTGATCCTATTTTTACTGCTAGAAGAGATACATTTGATAATTTTTTTTGGAAACCTGCTTTTAACACTCCCTCCATCAATCCGTGGGACCCATCGTAATTGCGACTTTTTGAGCTCAACGCAAAAGTTCTACCGACTCAATTATTCCCTTTTCGTTCTCCAAGCATTACGTTTTTTGTGAGCAAGTGTTAAACACTTACGTGCTTAGACGCTATACAAGCAGAAGCTGAACACATTAGCGCTGATACCAATTTATAAAGCACGTAGTAGTCACACCAACTTATGAAGCACATAAATGTCTAACACTAGCTTATAAAGCACCGAAGTATTGAACACGCTTTTGTATAAAGGTACGAAGTGCTTAACACTTGCTTAGCAAGAAACTTAGTGTTTACGACTTGCTTAAATAACGTCCCAAAGTGTTGTTAACTTGCTTCACACTTACTTATCAGCAACTAAGTACAACACATGCTCATTGAGCCATAGAGAGCTATATAAAATGGATCCTTGATCTCCCATTGTATTTTTGCCTTGCATTTAATAAAGATAAGATCTTCACGCCATAATTATTGCTTCTGAAGCAGATAACAGTACTTCTCACGCAAGCGAGGTACCGAAAACTGCTTTTCAAGAAGGTTAGAGGTGAAGCTTAACCACTGAACTTGCTTTCACAGAACCTAGTGCTAAAAAGCATCCGTGTGTGCTGTCGCCGCTTCTGAATGTCCCGGTCAACAGATTTAAGGACGTGCGGGCAGTCTTGCCGGAGGGGTACCTCGTACTCCCACGAGTCATACGTTTGTGGGTACCCCATCCACTTCACTGGGTACTGGGTGTGACCCTGGTGAAGACGTCGCGCAAAGAGACGCTCGACGCGGAACTGTTGATGAACCAGCTCATTTATCAGCGTCGGCGGGGGTCGATAAACCATCAATACATGATCTCCTGGTGCGCCTCCAGCATTCGTATGCACCTCCGGTGCCATACTACCCGCCTCCTTTGGCCAAGAGTATGGGTACAACCCCTCAAAGCCCACCAAAGCTGGGTTTAGATATGGCTTTAGTAAGCCCACATAGAAGACAGGGTGTGCTTGCATCTTCTTCGGAAGGTTTAGTGCTTAAGCTAAGCATTTCTTGCTTATGACCTTGTAAGGTCCAATAAAGCGTGGACGTAGTTTGATTTTGTATACCGCAGACACCGCACAGTAGGCAAATTCCTAGCGTTCAAAACTTAATCTCCTACTTTGAACTCGTGTTCTTTCTTCCTTCCTTTGGCATCTGCTTGTTCCTTCTGAACATCCTGGCTTTCAGCCATAGCGTCTTTGACGCGACGTAGTACGTCAAAACGCGTTGACAGAAACGCTTCCACCTTCTTGCGAATCGCAACAGGGCTGATGTCAGCCAAGCCTTCGGCTATCTCTCCCCTACTAAGCCCTAATGTGGCAGGTGGTAGCGTTAACGGAGCGCGAGGATTAATTAAACCATTTACATAGAATGGGGTGAAGCCTGTCGAGGCATGCACCGCGTTATTTAACGCAAATTCTACCAGAAGGTAGCATCGTGCTCCATTGCTTGGGTGTTTCAGCACAAACACTCCAAAGCATATCAACAACAAAACACTTCACGCGTTAAGTGTGGCCATCGGTACGTGGAAGATCCAGCGTGAACATGTTCAGTCGAGTGCCGAGCCCTTTAAAGGCGGACGTCTAAAACTTACCCGTAAAACGGAGGTCTCTATCCGAGACGATTTCCACAGGCAATCCGTGTTGTCGAAACACATGATTTATAAACAGCTTATCTATTCCTTCTCCATCATGGAGGTCCGGCACGGCCGCTAGATGAGCCATCTTGCTCAATCGGTCTACAAAGACCACAATCCCAGTGTTGCCTGCCGCATCGCGCGATAGGCCAAACACAAAGTCCATACTAATGGACTGCCACAACCCAGAGGGTACAGGCAAACTCGCCAAAGGCGCAGCCATGTAAGGCGAGGGTTTCACTCTTTGACACGTTTCACACGTGCGTACGTATCTACCAACCCATTTATATAACTTGGGACACCAGGAATCGTTGCTCACCGAGCTGTAGGTTTTTTCACGACCTAAATGACCACCAAGTGCTTTATCATGAGCGTCATAAAGTATCTGATACTTGAGGTCCTCATCATGAGGCACCAAAACACGAGGCTGGTCATCCGACCCTTTACTATAGTACAACAGACCATCGGTTAGCGCATAACAATGTAATATCGCACGATTACGCGGTGACAGCTTTACCTTAGCGTTTTCAAACTCTCTGCGCTACCCAGCGCCTGCAAAATGGCAGCACATGTCTCATCACGTGCATAAGCCACACGGATACGTTCCGTGACCGACGAACTCACAACAGTGAGATGAGCAAGCTCATAGTCAGGTCTACGCGATAACGCGTCAGCCAAAACATTCTGTTTTCCCGGCTTATACGTCACCTCGAAGTTATAATCCGCAAAAAAGGAGAGCCAACGATCAATTCTCTGCGAGAGATGAGGCGACTATGTCGCTGTGCGTAACGACGCATAATCTGTATCGATCACAAACGGCTTTGGGCCCGGCAGGTGTATTTCTGAACTTAACAAGGGCATACTTCATCGTAAGTAATTCCTTGTCATGAACTGGATAGTTCTTCTCTGCAGCTTTCAGCTGGCAAGACTCAAACGCGATAACGCATTGTCGACCCTCAGAGTCGACTTGAAAGTGCAATGCCAATGGCAAACGCTAAAGCGTAACACACGACGCTAAAAGGAAGATCAGGATCATGATGATCCAGAATTGGCGCCTGACGAAGACTCTCCTTAATGGCTTCAAAAGCCTCGTGGTGCTCGGTGCTTCAACACCATTCCACATCCTTTTTAAGGAGATTCGACAATGCCATTACCACTTCCGCAGAGTTGTGACTATACTTGTGCAAGTAATTTGCCAAATCCAACCACTTGCGGAGGTCCTTCTGGTTCCTCGGAACCGGCCAATCCACTATGTCTTTGACCTTAACAGGGTCTGCCCGGATTCCTTGCTTCCCAAATGAAGCATCCCAAAACGGGAATCTTTTACGCACCGAAGATGCATTTGTTAGTATTGCCATATATCTTGTGCATCCTTATGCAACTGAGCACAGCTCGCAGGTGTTCGACGTGATTCTACACATCTGTATTGTTGTTTTTGGCTCAAGTATGGATATGTATATTGTGGTGGAGTGAGTTCTCAAAATTGCGTAATGAGACCCAAGCCACTCTCTTTGCCGGACTGCCGACTGTCGGAGGGGGGGACCCCGATGCTGCGCATGGACCTTCTCTCACCTTGTGTACCCGTAGGAGGGCGGGATGCACTCTTTGGAGGACTTGGCGGAGATCAGATGCCTTTCTGGAGAGAGATCGACTTTGGGATGCCTCGAGTGGATATTCTTTACTCGTTAGGCTAGCAGGTGGCCACTTGGTCGACTAAACCGAGGGTGGGCTTATAGCCAAATTCTTTAGGGGAGGTTCTCAACCCTGGCCTCTTCCTTCCTTGATATCTCAGGGGTGTTAACCGCCTGGCCTTTACTTGCTCCCAAACTACTAGGGTAGGGAGACCGCTTCCGATAGCGGGTCGATTGAGGGGGGGTGCTACTCAGACGAACCCACAGGCCAACTATACCCTGGGGCTTTATTTACTCTTGGGTCTTTACCACACGACTGTCTTCGACGGGAGTTAAAAATCTTTCCCTTCCCAGAACAGGTCGGTAGACTTATGTAAGTTGCTTATGAGCAAGACGAAGGCATGCTACGTAGATTGCAAATTGAGTGG